ATTTTCAACTTTTTGAGGAAACTCCATACTGTTTTCCAGAGTGGCTGCACCAGCTTGCATTCCCACCAACAGTGTACGAGGGTTCCCCTTTCTCCACATCCCCGCCAACATCTGTCGTTTCCTGATAAGCATTTTTTAAGAACAACTTTGAAAAAATAGAACTTAACCAGATTTTAAAGTATCTAGAAGCTCAGTCAAATAAGAAATAGTTCAAGTAACTGAGAATGCATAGCCAAAAAGAAGTCTTGGGGAGAAGAAAAAGTGTTCTCTTCAAATATCCAAACAGCTGTCATAGGGTACAAAGATCTTACTTAACTGTGGCTCCACAGGGCATCTCAATGCATGAATGTTATGAGAAGATGTAAAGAAATAAGACTGAGTTTTCCAACAGCTAAGGTTCTTTTAAAATTATGTAGAAGACAAAAACTTCTTCCTCCCATGAAGGAAGGGGATGTTCCTACTATATATACTTAAGATATGCAAATTTCTTTTGTACTATAGGAATGTCCTTCCTACTGTAAACAACTAGAAATCAGACAAAATATGAAACAACTGTTTTCAGACATTGGACAATAAGCTGTAGAAAACTGTAGCCCCTGAAAGAAGGAAAAAGATGAGGTGAGCCCTATCATTGCCCCCAATTTACTGCCTGAAGTCAGTTTCCAGGCTGCTCTAAAAGTAGGGGGAGCCCTGATACCAAAACTGGAAAAAGACATTACAAGAAAAGAACACTATACATATATCTTGTGAAAATAGATGGCAAATTCCTTAACAAAATTACCAACTAAAATCTAGCAATCTGTTAAAAGTATGATACATCACAATCAAGTGGGGTTTATTCCAGGAATATTAGCTAGGTTCAATATACAAAACTCAAGAATAAAATTCACCATACTGGCAAACCAAAAAGAAAAAACATGTAATCATGTCAGCGGATACAAAAAAAGCATTTGGCAAAATTAACATCCATTCATAATTTTAAAATAGAAAGAAAAACTCTCATAAAAGTAGGAATATAGAGGAATTTCCTCAATCTGACAAAGGACGTATACCCAAATCCTTCAGTTAGCATCATATTTAATGATAAAAGACTGACTGCTTTCCCCATAAGACCAGGAATGAACTCTCACTACATTTCTTCAACATTTTACTGGAGGTCCTAGCCAGTGCAACAGTCTAGGAAAAAAATAAAAGGCATACATATTGGAAGGGAAGAAGTAAAACTTTTTTTTTTCTACAGATAACATGACCATGTTTGTAGAAAAGCCTAAGGCATCCATAAAAAACTATTAGAACTAATTGTGTGGGCTCCTGGGTGGTTCAGTCGGTTGAGTGTTTGCCTTTGGCTCAGGTCATGATCCCAGGGTCCTAGGATTGAGTCCCACATCAGGCTCTCTGCTCAGCGGGGAGACTGCTTCTCCCTCTGCCTCTGCCTGCCACTCCCCCTGCTTGTGCTCTCTCTCTCTCTGTCATATAAATAAATTTTAAAAATCTTAAAAAAAAAGAACTAATTGCATGTAGCTAAGTCTCCAGGTACAAGGTCAATACACAAAATCAAAATCAGTTATATTTCATGAAAAAATTGCCATTCTTTCCTTGAAAGAATGGGATTAAAACAATAAAAACACAGATCCCAGTATATAAAAGCAACACATTTACAAAAGAAATTTGCATATCTTAAGTAAATGGCTAGGAAAGTCAAAAATATATTCAGCCCTTTGAATTTCCCTCCCTTCCCCTATGGTCCTCCGTGCTATTGCTTATGTTCCATATATGAGTGAAACCATATGATAATTGTACTATACAGTGGCTAACTGAACATAATAAAAATATATATATATATATATTCAGCCTCCTTCCTAATAAAATAGTTGCAAATTAAAAAAAAAACAAAATCAGTTATATTTCTATATACTCACAACAAACAATTTGGACACTGAAAAAATTTTAAATACCATTTACAGTAGCATCAAATAATATTAAAAGCTTGGAAGTAAGTTTTTAAAAACAAGTAAAAGACCTACACACTAAAAACTAAAAGACATCACTATTGACAGAAATTAAAGTAGGCCTAAATAAATGGAGAACTATAACATGTTCATGGATCTGAGGAGTACATATTAAGATATCAGTTCAGCCCAGGGGCACCTGGATGGCTCAGTGCCTTCAGCTCAAGTCATGATCTCAGGGTCCTGGGATCTAGCCCAGAGTCTGGCTCTCAGGCTCCCTGCTCTGTGGGAGTTGCTTCTCCCTCTCCCCCTGCCCCTTCCCCCTGCTTCTTCTTCTCTCTCTCTCTTTCTCTCAAATAAATAAATAAAATCTTTTAAAAAAATTATATCAATTCAGCCCAAACTGATCTATGGATTCAGTGAGATACCAATCAAAATCCTGGCAGGCTCTTCATTGTAAATAAAAAGCTAATTCTAAAAGTTCTATGGAAATGCAAAAGACATACAACTGCCAAACAATTCTGAAAAACAAGATCAAACACAGACAACTTATACTATCTTATTTCAAGTTTTACTACATAGCTATAGTAATTAAGACAGTGTGATATTGGTGAAAGCACAGACATACCAACCAATGGAACAAGATGGATAATCAAAAAGTAAACTCACATGGTCAACTGATTTGGACAGAGGAGCCAAGGCAATTCCATGCAGAAAAAGATAGTCTTTTTGACAATGGTTTTGGGACAATTAGATATCCACATGGAAAAATATGAACCTCAACACACAAAAAATAACTTGAAATGGACAATAGACCTAAAAACAAGAGCTAAAATTAAAAGACTTAAAAAAATTGGAGAAATCTTTATGATCTTAGGTTAAGCAGATCTTAGATAGGACACAGTAAGCACAAAGCATAGCATAAAAAGTAAAAATTGATAAACTGAACTTCATCAAAATTAAAAACTTTTGCCCTTTGACTTTGTTAAGAAAATTAGAAGTCAAGCCAGCCACAGACTAGGAGAAAATGTTTGCAAAATACATATCTCAAAAGGACTTAGATCCATAATACATAATTATATATTACTACCCAGTACAGAAGACAATCCATTTAACAAAAGGCTGGGAGCAAAAGATTTGAACACATACTTCATAGAAGAAAATACACAAATGGTCAATAAGCACCATCCCACAGTCACAACACCATTAGTCATTAGGGAAATACAAGTTAAAGCTGTAATGAGATACCACTACACACCCACTAACATGACTAAAATTAAAGGACTGGTAAATATCAAGTGCTGGAGAGGATGTGACACAATTGAAACTCTCATGTACTGCTGCACAACCCAGCAATCTTAGATATTTTCCCATGAGAGATAAAAACATATGTCCTCACAAAAACACACACAAAAGTTCATAGCAGCTTTCTTCATAATACTTAAAGTCTGGCACCCTAAATTTTCCTCAGTTGATGAATGGATAAACAAATGGTGGTACATTCATACAAGGAAATACTGCTGAGCTATAGAAAAGAATAGACTACTAGTAACATGCAACAACATGGATGAATTTCAAAAGCAGTATGCTACCTCCATACTGTTTTCAAGAATGGCTGTACTAGCTTGCATTCCCACCAACAGTGTAAGAGGGTTCCCCTTTCTCTGCTTCCTTGTCAACATCTGTTGTTTCCTGTGTTGTTAATTTGAGCCATTCTGACTGGTGTGAGGTGGTATCTCATTGTGGTTTTGATTTGTATTTTCCTGATGATGAGTGATGTTGAGCATTTTTTCAAGTGTCTGTTGGCCATTTGTATGTCTTCTTTGGAGAAATGTCTGTTCATGTCTTCTGCCCATTTCTTGACTGGATTATTTGTCTTTTGGGTGTTGAGTTTGATAAGTTAAAATAGATCTTGGATACTAGCCCTTTGGAGATACCCAGCCTAGAAGAGGACAATCAATCAAAATGATTTTTCTTTGTAAATATTAAATCCAGAATTACATTAGGATATCAAATATCAAACATAAAATTAATAACTAAATTTTCCCTGAAGAATATAACAGGAGATGGTGCATTTTCTGAGCATTTTGTCTAAATTTGTAATATAGTTGTATCTTGTTTTGTGTTACCAATAGGTTTTAAACTTGTATAAATCAGAAACATTTAGAATTTTCTAAAACACTTCATTAAAGTATCTCTATGGTGAAAAAAAAAAAAAGCAGTATGCTAGGACAAAGACACCAGGCACAAAAAGACCAAAGACCACATATTTATGATCATTTAGAATTTAAAATTCTCAAAAATGCAAAACTATTGTGACATTAACCAGATCAGTAGTTATCAGGGGGTGGGGTAAGGGAAAGATACTGACTGAGAGGGGGCAGGAGGGAACTTTTGGGGCTTATATAAATGTTCTATATCTTGGTGATGGTGGTAGTTACATGAGTGTATACATTTGCTAAACTCACCAAAATCTGTACAGAAAATTATTGGATTTTATTGTGTATTAATTATACCTCAATAAAGCTGATTATTTTTAAACACACACACACACACACATGTGCACACACCTGAGAACTGCCAATGATAGGAAGTGTTCAAAACCATCAAGGGTGTTGTTTCACTCCCTAAAGTCCTACATGGATACCCAGGTTAACAACCCCTGCTGCAAGTGCCCAAAAGCACTATCACAACAGTCAACTGAAAGGAATTTAAACCCCAAGTTGCAACAGTGCTAAGCCCATTGCAACAGCAACTCAGGCTTTGGGAGGTCTAGCTAGTTAGAGATTTCCCACTTGGGCCCATCCATGCCACACTGGTATGTACCAGCAGACTCATCCATTTAGGCATCAACATCTCCAAGGTTTCCTTTTCTTCCTCCTTCTAAACCTTACTTTCAGAAGAGGATTGAAAACTTTTCCAATCACTAAATGATTGCTAAAACTAAGTTTGTTACCCCTCCCAGCAGTATTTTTATTTTAGTAAAGAATAGAGCTTTGAGTGAAAAACCTATTTCCAACATTAGAACTTAAGGCACAGTGAATAAAGGAAGGCATTTGCTTTTTGGATGCAAAAAAAACTCCTCAGTTGCATCAAGTAAGCATCTATTTCCACATAAAAGGACACAGTGATTTCTCTCTGAGTCCTAGGACTTTGGATTCTTTTCAAACTTTCCCTCTTTTACTATCTGCAGGCAATACATTTTCTGAAGTTGTTTTGGTCTCTTCCAGAAACCAACAAAGTAGAGAGAAAAGAGAGTGAACAGACCAAGAAAAGGTGAGTCCTGACCTTCCAACATTGCTGAAAGAGGTACCATCTCCAGCAGATTTATAACTTCACCATCAGTTAAGTCTGAGGCATGCTGAGACCTCAGCAAACATGAGCTAATGGAGAGGAAAAGGAAAGTTAGTATCTGGAAGGAAATATTCTAGCTATAAATGGATGGCAGGATGTCCAATGCACAATGCTCAAGGGGCACGGCAAGCTGAGTCAAGTTAAAGTAGAAAATTAATACCAAAAGGGTCTGTGTCATGTGCATGAGCTTTATATTATTCACCATGGTAACCCCAGTACCTATCATGGTGCCTGGACTAGTGGGAATCCTACATGTGTGGAATGAATAAAAAAATAAGTGAGGCGTGATAACATGTTCCCTTTAGCGTCAGTGTCTTTGCACCTGCTGTGTCCTCTGCTTGGAATGTTCTTCTGCCACTTCTTTACCTCATTCTTCAGATCTTGGTTCAAGCTGCACTTCTACAAAAAACCAACCCTTTCTTAGAGTATGTTAGTCTGTTATCGTGTCATATGGATCCCTCTGCTTTTTCTTCATAACACCAGGTAATACTTACATTTTTGTGTAATTACGTTATTAAACTATGAACTATACCAAACTTTATAGAGAGTAGAGATCATATCAGTTAAGCTTATCTTTGTATTGCCAGCACCTAACACAGTGCCTGGCATCTGGTAGTAGGTGCTCAATAAAGTTTTTTTCTATTGTGAAATTGTAGCAGCAGATATTTTTTAATTCATAGAAAATAGCCTTTTTATAATACTAACAATTTTCTGTAGTTATAATTTAATGGCATCTACTGGTTTACAGATAATAGGACTTATTCATAAAATTTACACTGTCGTGGTTTGATAAATATATAACATGTTGGAAAAGAGTTTCATGGAAATGTAAATGCTATTCATCAGGGTTTAGCTTCTCTTACATTTGCTTTCAGCTGAGCAATATTATAATTTGTTTGATTTTTATTTATTTTTCATTTATTTGCCTACTTTCCAGATTCTTTACCTAATCAAATCAAATCCAAATAAGCAACCCTAAATATGGCCCAGGGGAAATGTGTATATCCTTTTCTTTATATTCTCTTTTGTCCACATACTAGGGGCTATAGAAGACAAAATGTGGTGAGGTGCTTTTTTTAAGAGTTCAAGTTTTCAGTTGTTTTTAAATTCAGTTTATTCAAACTAAAAACAAAAAAATTTCACCCATTCTCCCACCCCTCACCCCCCACTTCTGACAACCACCAATCTCCTCTCTGTGTCTATGAGGTGGGTTTTTTATTATTTATTTTTAGATTCCACATATAAGAGAGATCATACGGTGTTTGTCTCTGTCTGACTTACTTCCCTTATCATAATGCTCTCAAGGTCCTTCCATGATGTCACAAACGGCAAAATCTCATTCATTTTTATGGCTGAATCATATTCCATTATATGTATATAGCACAATTTCTTTATCCATTCATCTATCAATGGACACTTAGGTTGTTTCCATACCTTGGTTAATGTAATAAATATTTGTTGAAAGAATGAATGTATGCATGAAGGAATACATAAAGATTCCTGGTGATCAGTTGTTTCGCAACATGATGAAATCAGATTATCTGTATCTCCATCTTCCCCAAGGAACAGGGCTCTCAAGAATATCAGGGCTCTGGCCACACAGTCATAGGGTCAGGCAATCCTAAGTCAAAAGCCTGGTCACAAAGATACTGTCATAAGCCCAGGGTCAACAGACCCAGAGTGCTCAGCATCTACCCAAATACGCACGCTGCTGTGAGTCTAGGAATCCTGGATGGTAAGCGCAGGTACTGAGATTATGCCTGCCCTCTTAGACTCAGTTCAGGTATGGTCCTGCAGGGAGAAGGCAGCAAGCAATCAACATATGGCAGGGGCAGGTCCAGTCAAAAATAAAGGGTAGTTAATTGAAGGAAGCATGAACAGCACATCTCCACCTATCTCTCCAACAGTTTGTTTCTCCTTATTGCTATTTCAGTGGCTCCCTGTATTCTGCCCTATCACTGAAATCTAGAAAAAGAAAGTGGCTCTATTGCAAAACCTCACCCAATTCCTTTTCTGTTGTTGTTTTTCCAGAGTACAATACCATGTACCTGAAAGATCTGATGAAGCTCGGTGTGTTAACATTTCGAAGACAACTTCAGGCGACAAAAGTACTACACATTTTTAATTAAAGAGTAAAATCCATATGACCATCCATTGTTTATATGCCTTCGCTTTCAAATTTTGGCTTACATTTTTTCTTGTCCATTAATATTATTGTTACCATTAATAATAGCAGGGGCTCCAGGACTCCTTGTAAGTGAGATGACCTCCCTATAATGCCAGTTCTGCTCCCTATGCCAGGAGCAGATTTTAACTGCTTCTTTTCATTTTGGAGCACACTTGTAGGCCAAGCTCACCTGACTGGTTCCTGGCTCAGGACTGATGTTTAAGACTAACACCTCCTGTTTCAGATTCAGCCTTCTTTTCTTAATTCTATAAATTGTGTTTTATGTAGAACTCCCAATTACTGGAATAATGGCTTTTATCTATGCTTAATTCTAAAACAGTGCCTCATTCCATCTTGTGTATTTGTGACTACCTCTTCAGTCTGGGTGGGAGTTATGTATGTTATGGCTTTATAGTGCTGTTATTAATATTTTGAAACATAAAGAGATGTGTACTATAATAATGTAATTACTATGTCCTGAGAAAATTTACCCACTTCTCTGTGAGGGTCAGTAGGAAAATGGTGGGTTGGTGTGCTGACAACAATGAGCAGACCGACTCAAAATTTGGAAAATTAGGAATGATGGAGATAGAACCAGCTCTGAATCCTGGAGCCACTTCTATCTGGGCTGCTGCTAATCTGAGGAGGATCCACCTGCCCAACAAGCTATTGATAAGCCTTAGCAGAGAGCACTGTGTAAAGCAGGAAAGCACTATGCACTGTGAACCCTACTTCTCTTCTTGAAATAAGTGACTGAGATGATGGCCCAGGGCAATTGTTCAAGAGCCAATATGAGAGATCACAATACTCAAAAGAGAGAAAGAAAAAAAAGGGAAAGCTCTTAACCGACAGAGATGCACATGAATGTCCTATCTGTCCAGCCCTCTAGCAAGCAAAAGGTGAACAGACTGTCCAAAAGAACTTCAGACAGACAGCACCTTCCTTGGTGGTTGGTGAGAAGTCTGGATAATACTCAAGTTATCGTGATGCTCCATCTGGCTGGAGGCAGAGCTGGGAGGGAGAGCTATCATCTTGATAATGGGATAAACGGAAGGAGGCTTAGGACTCTTTCAACTCATGGCTGAGAAAGAAGGAGCTAGAGTGGAATTAGGAGGACCAAGATGCAAATCATCCAGAGGCCAACATAGTTGGCAGGTGTCCTAGGAAGGGATCAGCTGGTTCAGAGCAGGGCTCGCAAATTTGTGTCTGATACTGTCTATGTCATTCTCAACGATGGGAAAACTGGATGCACAAGAGGACTATGCTAGCCCAGCAGAAATGAGTTAGGTGACCCTGGCTCTAAGGCAGCATCGCTAATGGACAGAGCAGCCTCAGTCCAAGCCGAGACAGAACTTTGGGAGGCCCAACGCACAGAAATATTTCTTCTTATTCTACATAAAGGAACCTAGAAGATTGTAGACAGCTGTGCTAGCCATGCTTGCCTTGTAATATTACCATTTGTGTATTGTGCCCTGCCTCTGCCTTCATTAGGCTGAGGTAGCTTGTTGGTTCCTAACATGTTTTATACAGTGAGCTCTTAATAAACTTTTCTTAAATTGATCTAAAAGTCTCCATTTTCTGCTTTACTTCAACAGTACTACTCAACTCTCGTAGCCCAACATTACTTCCTCTGTCCTCCTAATGTATTTCCTCCCTCTTAATGTCTCCATGGAAGCCTCATTCTCCAGTCACCTTGGCTAGAGTCCTCTGACTCATCCTAAACCCTCTCCTCTTCCCTTTTCTCTTAGCCATTATATAAGAAAGGGGGGCTTATATAATTCTAAATGTTTATCTCAGTTATGAGACATAAAAATATCAAGCAAAGGAGGTCCTTTCTGAGGACAACTGGGAAATTTGGAGTTAGGAAAATGATACTTGCTTTTCAGTTTTAACTTTTTATATTCTGTAATTTTAAATTATGTGCTCATATGTACATTAAACAAAAACTTAATGTAAAATATTCCTTAAAATACCTTGATTACAAAATGAATGCATATAACTATATTGTATATTTCTAAAGTTGCCAAGAGAGTAAATCTTAAAAGTTCTCATCACAAGAAAAAAAAAGTTTGTACCTATGTGTGGTGATAGATGTTAATAAAACTTATTGTGTCAATCATTTCACAATGTATACATATATCAAATTATTATGCTGTACACCTAAAATTAGTACAATGTTACGTGCCTATTTTACCTCAACTAAAAATAAATAAATGAATATATATATACACTTAGCATATAGCATGCACTTAGCATATATTGCTACATGTAGCATATATATATATGGCATGTGAGAAGACCCAGGAAAAATCTGGAAGAAAGAAAATTCCAGGGTCTGTGAGGGCAACAATATGTCTAATTTCTTTTTTTTTTTTTTAAAGATTTTATTTATTTATTTGACAGAGAGAGACACAGTGAGAGAGGGAACACAAGCAGGAGGAGTGGGAGAGGGAGAAGCA